CATCTAGTATGTTGATCAATCCGTTTAGTATTTTTTGCCAAAATTTTATGTAACAATTTATTTAATATCTACAAACAGAGAGATGTCTACTACTCACAATAGAAGGTTACCTCAACCTCCTGAAGGAACTACTTTCTAACATCTATCTCGGAAATTATCTGTAGTAATGAAATAGAGTCAACTAACGTCAATAATACTGGTAGTTGCTGTCATAAATCTAATTTTTACGTAGAGCAATGTTAGATTACGGATCTTAATATTCATGGGAGAGATATCAGGAAGTCTTATATCTGTGATGAGAATTACTGATTTCTCTCATAGCAATACATTCTCCAGAAATCTATAGATTAGATTTTATCTACACAAGGACGCATCCTTTTGGGTTACTCGTATTTGACGAATCTTTCGATCAAAGATAATTTATTTGTTCGGTTTCGAAGTCGAATTCACGCATGACAGAATGATTTGAGACAACCTGCTGAAACTATGGCCACAACAGTAAATTAACTTCTACCTTGTATATCCTAATGTAATCAGATATGAGGTAACGAGTTTGAGTACTGTACTCTATGCTCCCATGTCAATTCACTATTTACTCAATATCCGTATTGAATATATCATGGTTATAAGTATTGTACGCCAGTAGAATTGTGGAAATAACGTATTGAGCACGCTACAATGACAGTTGCCAAAAACCCATATTCCAGTTGCAGTATTATGTGAATCGTTTTCAGATCATGTTTCATTCTACAAGAATAGTAAGTTTGAAAATAACGATTAGATTTCGCGTAATATGGTATTGTTTATAGTTTATTCACATCTTTTGTCTAATAATAAATGTAATGCCGATGTTTAAGTAATTTCGAAAATCTTTCTTTAATATTAAAGGAAACTCCCATTTAATGCAAAAATCTCCATAAATGTTTGCGCGCTTATAGAGGAGTCACTATAGCTATTCATTATCCGTAAGAAAATTTTACAATAACTCATTCTTTCAGACATGTAAGTTAACATATTTCAAAGTTACAGCAATAGATCCATTCGAAAAGAGCACATGCACGTAAACAAGACATTAAACAAGAATTTTACAAAATTATGACCATTTTGTATATTTTCACTAATATATGAATATGCAATGGGTTTTCTTTCGTTAAATAAAAGCGATCACCAAGTTATTACCATCAAAGCAAAGAGAATTACAAAAAAACGTTTCTATGTCAGCTAATAAATGTTTAAAGACGGACAATGCTGTACAACATTTCATCATTTTATAAATAGTGTTGCGTCAGTCGTCGTATTTAATGAGGGAGATGCGAACTGCAGGCGGTTACTCAATTAGCTCGGGGCTATCGCTGCCTTACTACAGCGACAGTTCAACCAAGACTGAATGCTAAGCTAAAAGTGACGTGTTTTTGTAATTATTTACACTTCGATTTGGTGCTTTGACTAGTCATTATACGTTAAAACTAATTGAACAAATTTAAACAAAGTATTGTCGTTTTCGAATATTATTATTTAGTAGTCGTTGTCCGTTATGTACGTAATCGCTTAGTTTACTGATCTGACGACTTGTTACTCAACCTTATGGCTTGTAATATGACTTAAGCATAAGAGAAAAATAAATTAAGGGAGAATAATGTTTTATTATTTCATAGATAAGATCAAGTCTGTGGAATATAATATTTAATATTTAACAACACGACATACCATGAGCTAGACGATGGGATAATAGTCGCTTAAATATGTCGATCACCAATTTTCGGTTCTCCCCATGACACTAACCCCAAATGCTCAACCACCAAGACCTTCTAATTATGATTTAGACGCTTGAAAATTAGCCCATTCGGGGGACAAAATGCTTCAAGTTAAATAGTAGGCTAAAAAATCAAAAAGAGTGATTAAATTTACTAAAACAAAAAAACAATCCAAACTAAACAAAAATCAAAAGCGATAGCAATAAACACACCACGGTCTTTAGCTTTTTATTGTTCCACTGGTCACCAAAATTTGGAACGGTTTTAATTAATCGGGGACGGAAACTAACTGCGTGTCTAGTACTACTGTTTGTTTGGCTGCGGAGGAACATTTGTTGCTGCGGCTGTTTAGCAGTGCGGCTTACCATCTATTTTTCTTAATTGAGGAAAGAAAATTATTCTCCCCAATTGCTTTGAATTGAATACAAATAGAAAAGTATCCCCTTGTTTCAATATGAGACATTGGGGTACGATATCAAAATTTTCGCTGGCGTAACTTTGTTATATTCAAAGAATATGTCCCTCTCCTGTAAGAATAAACAATAGAGACTCACAAAACGTATAATTTCTGACGCGTTTAATAGTAGACACATTTACTATAGAAATCTTGAAATAATTGGGTCCTGAGAGTAACAAGAGGTGCATTATATTTAGTATTTAAAGTTGAGTTGTGGAGGATTTCCATAATCCATCTGGCGAAAGAATGGAAACCTGATAAAAAAAAACATTTTAGAAATAATAATAAAATTAAAATTAGGATGGCATTGAATAAATTTACTTAATTACATAGCAGACTGAAGAAATAATGCAATGTTTGTACATTTATGAGAAATAAATTTAAAGCAAAATGTAGTGTAAATGTAAGAATTTGAATGTTTTTTGCGCATCAATCGTTGACGTTCTATAGGGAGGCTTATACTCATAAAATTTTACATAACAATAAAAATTGGCAGATTTGCCTACAAATCAGTTTGTATATTATAATATAAACAAATTACTGAAAAAGCATGTTATTACACTAATAATAAATGGTTTACTTTTTTCAACAAATTAATTATATTTACGATTTGATTGGGAATAAAATATTCGTTATATCAAGTATATTTTGACAGAACGGGCATATAACAGTCCAGGGGGAAAAAATAACAAAATATTATTGCGGTAAATCTTGCACAGCAAAAGCACCCAGTTACGTTCTTAAAAAAGTCGATACTAATTATACATCAATTGCCTATAATTCTAAATTTAAAATTTAGTAAGTGAATTAATTATGACTTGACTCATAAAAAAACAGTAGATTCTATGTCAGATATCTTTTTTACTAATATTCAAGCATTAATTAAACTATTTATATTCATTTGCTACGTAAATAATTAATACTTAAGAAAAAGGATCCAGGTTACGTACGTTCGTGACCCAAATGGAATAGTGCCGAGTCATGTATGTGACAAAGGTATTTGTATTCATAGAAAGAAGAATAAGCGGAAACATTAAAGGAGAAATTTATCAATTCATATTTAGGTGACATTTATGTTAAATTGTAAGCTGGCTAAATGGCTTGTCAAAATTATCGCATAATACTACCACCCGAATTTCGCACTCAAGGAATAGTTCGACGTGGGCAGGTTCCAAGACTGCTCAAGCCATGTGGTACATGTCACATTATCGCTTAAAGTATCCTACTTGTACAGAAGAATACACAAGTAAAACTTGTGGACTCTATGGTTTTATTCATACAAAGCTAGGTGGATCCAAAGCCCCCAATGCAAAACAAACTTTGATAGAATAAGATGATGCTCGCAACATTTTATCTTCAGCTTAGGCTGACGCAGAAGCCTATTCTTTTTATTATAAACTTTGCTTAATGTGGGGTTTTATTAGTAATGATAGGTTTTAATGTAGGCGAAGGGATTAACAGTCGAAACTCTCATTATTATAATGGGCAACCATAAAATCATGGTACCATCATAGCATGCATAATTATTGCATGGTGTAATCCATCATACGTAGTTATAGATCCAGTTATTATTAGCCTCAAAAAATCGATTGAATGTCGATAGGTATGCCTTGCAAGCTATCCAGAAGTAATTGTTTCATTCACTTGATTGAGCGAAGCAATTAGTTCAAACAATTGCAGCATAATCTCAGCTGCTTTGCAGGTTGCTTCGGCAGATACTTGTTTCTTCACCTCCTTTTCCCAAAATAGTATGGACAATAAAAGTAAAGTTCCATTATAACAAGCAACTCGATTCAACTGTAACGTGAGGTGTCAGAACATTACCGAATTTACATATTAATAGCCGCTGTCATGTGACAACTCCGATTATAATCTCCTGTATTAGTATCAGTTTAATAAAATGCTTATTATTATTTTAATAGACATTGGTAAAAATATACGTCTACAAACTTTTTGTATTATCTTTCTTCCATACTCATTTTTGTAATAATAACTAAGTTAACATTAAGGGGGTAAAATTCGTCCTACTCGTAATAATAATGAACGTATATTAATATACTGATTTCTATATGGGTATCGCGAGGAACTTCTATTTACAACGAGGAATACTGATTGGTTAGAGATCGTGTGCTTTGCGCAGTTATGTCGTACTGTAGAATAGATAAAGAGATACAGTTAAATAAAGACGACCTGGCACAATAGCAAATGCTAAAAAGAGGTACATACTGATCAGTCTACTATATTTAACATTTATACATTATTGCAAAAGTCATATTAAACGCTTGATCTAGGCTTGGCTTCATCATTTCTCGTTACTCGACAATTAGGTTTGAACTGCAAGTCCTTGGTCACATAATAAAATAATACAAATAATGACGGATTTCCGGAGATTTTGTCCGGTATGTATATGCTACGCCACACTATCTCTTATTGTATTCACAAAAATCGACTCCGAAAGCCATAATGTGAAAAGGTTAGACAAACGCTTACTCGAGAGCCGCAGACGACTTATGTCGACCGCGGATAAAAACAGATAAACAAAGAGACAACCCTCAAATACTTCTTAGCGGTCTCGTTTTTACATTTACTTGGAACATTTCACTTTCCATACGTTTTGCTTTATACGAAGAAATTATGTCAACTACTGTGAATGCGTTGTCTGCTACAGCATGGTCGTGCGAGCACTGCACGTTCCATAATCAGGCGAGTAGTTGTATGTAGAATATAACTCAACGTTTACCTTGTATTAATATCCAAACGTTCAATAGGGTATAGATATAGCTTGCGTTATGTGCTATCGAAATCGTACGGAAGCGAAGGACCTCCCTGTTCAGGTCGGTTTTAATAATTATCGTAACATATATGTTTGCATAGGGTAGAGTAAACAATTCAAATAATGTTTATTCTAACGCTCGCTAGTGGGAGTGGCGTGCAAATCCAGACCAATGGATTCCTTACGACTTGGCCTCCGCAAGCGAGCTGGAAGACGCCTATCAACAAAATAAACCTGTCTGTAAACCCGCGAAAGGATATTTTTCTGCTATATCTTATAGATACGAGGTTCATTTCAACTATGCGACTAGGCGTTTTGTTCAATATAACTTGTCGACTGGTGGTACTAGACGAGTCAGAAGGATGGCAAATGGTGAACGATCGTTTCGCATCTATGTATCATGTATATAACTCGCTGAAATTGTACTCATCTCTGTATGTTTGCTTTCGCAGATGATAATTCAATTTTACAGCCAGTAGCTTTCAGTGAACTGAACCAGGATGATACTTGTGCCATTTGCTTGGATACTTTCGCGGATCCGAGTACTACCGCTGCCGATCAACACGCGGCGAAGTTGCCTGCTTGCCATGGGCACTATTTCCATCGCTGTTGTGTTGCAGGTGAGATATACATGTCCATTGTTATCTTCTCGACGTAATCAGTCCGTGAAGCACACACTGACTTGTTGTCGTTTGTTTCCAAATAGCTGTAATCAAACTACGGGATGAATGCCCGATGTGCAAGAAAAAAGTTGAATATTGATTGACAGCGATAATATTCATGTTTATGCTTTGCCTATAGTCCAACTATTGCCGACTGCTTTCTTATTATTGTTATTATTATTGTTGGTGTTGTTTATTCAACTATGTTGGTGACACAATAAATTCGAATTATCAACCTAATATCGATATGTGTACGGACCAGTGTTAGTCTAGCTAGTTCCTTTCAATATTAATATTGATATTAATACAACGATTATTATCGAATTGCTTACGTCATTCTAAAAATACTTTTAACTTCTGACACGTTACCCGGCCACTTATTCCCAATTGACTATGGGAGATGAGTCGTTCGAAGATTACACGATACTAAAACGTCCCAGTTTTGTCGCAGACAATGAAGAGAACAAAAGTCCAGCAAAGGTGACATCCGAAGAGCTCTTGGAATTCGACAGAGAGCTTGAAGCGTATAAAGATCTGAAAAGTCACCAAAATTGGGACTGGACATTTGACGAAGATAGTGGGTATTATTACAACTATGCGACAAATGCATATGCTATCTGGAATAGCGTCTTAAACGAGTGGGACTATTACGAGCGTAATGTTCGTTCTGAAGCAGTTGATCAGACGACTATTCCAACTGGAAGCAAGGAAACCATTACTGAAACGTCTGATGCGACTACAAAGAACACGAAGGTTAGTGTATCTGAAGAAGAGCACCTGTCTGAAAGTGAGGACCAAGAAAAAGATCAAATTCTGAAAACGACTCGAATCGTTCACAACTCGCAAGGGTTGTACGCTCCGCCCTCCGGATACAAGCCTAGTTCTGACGAGCGATATTTCTACAATGCCGAAAATAATACTTGGTTTGATGTAAGCATTGGGGTATTCTCCGTTTATGATGAAACGAGTCATACTTATCTTCCGATTGAGTCCGGCGCGTTGCTGAATGCAACGTCGGCAGGAAGTTCCGATGATTATGTAGATCTAGATAGTCAGGGTGATCCAGGTAGTGATGCGACCATGCGACTTGTTGTATTGAAATCAGATGTGCTTAAACCTGGCGGAATGGTTCTTGTCGATGGAAATGGTATTTCATTAGGACGTGACCGTTGGGATGACAGAAGACTTCGCTTGCCTGAAATGCATACATCAAAGCATCATTGTCAAATATTTTGGTCAATGCTTGAGTCAATAGATGCGAACTCTGATGACAATGAGAGCAAACTATCTTCTATAACTTCAAAGGAGGCTTTCTATATTGTTGACAGTGGATCGCAGAATGGAACCTTTGTAAATGACAAACGACTATCGAACAGTAAGATGTGTTCTAAACCACATATATTAAAACATTTGGATGAAATAACAGTTGGAACAACGAAATTTCAAGTACATCTTCATGAGAAATGGACTTGTGAAGCTTGCGCTGCGACTGAAGGCAAATTGATTGAGATAACTTCGAACTCCGCTGCAGATAGCAAAAGAGACGTTGCAACGTACAGCATGGCAATTAATGGAAATTCTGTATGTAGTAGCGCTATTTCATTAACTCAAAAGGACATTACAGAAATAGAACGACTAGAGGAATTAAACAGACTAAAGCGTAAATACGCAGCTGGCCCATCAGTCAATGCAAAAAAGAAACCGAGATACGTAGATCGTGCTGCCATGAGACGGAAGAACAATCCTGATAATAGTCCATTTAAGAAAGTGTCAGTAATGGAGGACACGTCCGTTGAGCAATCCATATCAATCCAGTCCAAGATAAATATGAACAACAAGGGGAATTGGATGTTACAAAAGATGGGATGGAGAGAAGGTCGAGGATTAGGTCGATCGGGTGAGGGAATATTAGATCCTATAGAAGCTATATCCAATGAAGGACGTAGAGGGCTTGGTGCTGGCGGAACAATAAAATTATCTAGTGATGAAAAGGGAAAGGAATCCTTGCAAGATGCAACACGTCGTATTGCTAGAGAAAGATTTATCGATATGTTCGAAGAAAAACAGAAAGGACGATAATAATAGTACTGTAGGAACGGCATTAGTAAAAGTAATATATAATTATAATTATAATACTAAGATTCTCTCGCGAAGAAATAACTGATAAAGAAAAAGTGACGCTGGAGCTATTGCAAATATGGTTGAAAATTTTCTTGCTGTGGTATGAATTCGAATGTCATCGCCTTGGCCCACAATGAGCTAGTACAAGCATTTCATGTATTTTAGTCTTTGTAATCGCTGCATCTTGAATCAGCAGCCCTCCACCTTGAATGTTAAGTTGGTGTCATCTTTCAGTAATAACTCTGTATGGGCACAAGCCGATAACGTAGAAAGCATCTATTTTACGGAAACAATATTATTTTCTATGTTTCACTATCGTAAGTCGCACATTCTGTTATTGTTAAATCAATGCGTATATTCCAAATTGATATATTGACCAGTGCCAAATGAATCCGATCAACCTGTCGATATCGTATTAGACGTTCTGTATGTACACACCTACAATAAATTACCTAACAATGATCACGCGAAACAATTTTAAACTATTTAACTATATACCGCGTGAATATTCACGACTTTTCTTGTTAAGACACGCGTACGAAGAAAGACTTTTCAGCTGAACCGCATAAGTATGTCATTTGCTAATATTTCCATACAAAATGTCATGCTACAATCAAACGATAAAAGAGACAGGACTCTGCATAACCTGAACGCGATATACACAACTTAAACTTGCAACGGGAAATCGATTCCTCTTGATAGCGCCGGTTTTTGTAATTACGCCACAAGCTAAAGCCTATTCCACCGCACAAGAACGAAAAGAAATTATTAGTGGTGCAAAATAAACGAAGCTGACGAGGCATAGAATACTATTGTATATATTGTATTACATGGGAGCCGTTCACTTGCCCGACAGTTACTTGCCCGACAGTCATTTGCCCGACAAATATTTACCAGCATTATTTCAAATTTATCCTTTTTTGGTAAATTTTTGTCGGGCAAATGATTGTCGGGTCGGGCAAGTAACTGTCGGGCAAATGACCCGGACCCAATGATGGTGACAAAAGAGAGTTCAATGTACAAAAGATATTAAAATCCATAGCAGTTTCAACATTATATTTGACGCGAGCTCTTATACCTTCAACGAATTGGGGCCTACTAAACTTTCGCTCTGTTTTATCAAAGCTGAAACTAGTTACTTCTTCAAGAAATCCATTCCAGAGCATTATTCTTGATGGCCAGAGACCCCCATTTCGCGTAGAACGTGTCGAAGTACTAGCATCCGGAGGATAATCAATGGTTGGAGGAATACATGATAGGTATTCTTTATCGTTTAGGAGTTCTTCAAAACAACAAAAAATGAGGAGTGAGTTAGTGGGCCATGAGCAAACTTGTTACTCTCTTCTATGTATGAAAACTATGACTGCTCTACCCTGTGCAGCATCATGAGCCAACAAAGTCCACTCTAGTATACACTCTAATAAAACTATGTTACAACCAATATTGCTATGTACTCCGTCTACTCTACCCTATGTACACACTA